GAAGACGTCAATAATTAATGTCCCTAACTAGCTTTATTGAAAAGTCCTTGAGCTGGTAATGTTATGATTTCTGTTCAGAAGATCATGAGCCCACCAAAATTGAAATAATGATCGTGGAGGGAGGCGGTGGTGAGTTCAGTTTCCTGAAGACGACTAAAAATTCACCTTGATGGAGCGGTCCGACGATCGCATTTTCATCTCTTATCTTCTATTAGTAATGGCGGGTATATATCTCCGCTTCCGTCTCTATCGCCGGAAGTATACCGTGAAGATAGTGGATAGGTATGGACTGGAAGTGAATGAGAGGCGGTAAGTTTCACTTTGCAAATATCTTCTTCTACAGGGTTTATAATGTCTCGGGCATCATGTTGTCCACACTTAGGCATGCTTTCAGGCTGATATGTGACAGGTCGGGAGAAGCTGACTGGTTGTCTTGAAACTGCACGACAGTGTCCGAGATCAGCGTCCTGAACATGCACAACGAGAGGATACCCGAAGCATATGTTATCAGTCAAACTTCAGTCCAATAATACCTTGCATATTATCCGTTTTTGTGGCGCCATTTGGATTGCGGTGACGCCGTTCTGAACACGGAGTCGGGCTTTGGAAACGAAAGGTCAACGGACGGGCAGGTGTATTGGCCGGAGGGCTCGGTTGCCGATTCTGGAGACGCTAGTGTCTACAGTATGGGTTAGTCGTCTCTGCTGATGTTGTACAAACTCCCAATTTGCAAATATCTTCTGTGTCGTCTGCCACACGCCCGATACGGACAGACGGCCTTTGGATGCTGGCGAGTATTATCAGAAGAAACTTGGAGTGACGCGTTACATGCATGGTGGTTTTCGATATGAATGTGCCGTTTGCAATTAAAATCCAACCGATAGCTCTTTTCCGACACTGGCAGTTGGTGTGCGCAATCGCAATGATATGAACTGAGGTCATCTGGATTCCGATTACAATTTTCCGAAGAAATTTAGCATGGCTCGTAAGCTGTATGGCGGTATTGCAATTGGCAGTCTATTACACCATATCATCCGTCCGCCTGATATGGACAAACGCTCTTTGGATTCCGGCTAGTATAATCAGATGAAGGTTACGGCCAACTTTTTAAGAATGAACTTGGCATGAATCGTTATTAGCACGGCGGTTTTGCAGGTAGCCATGACTTGTATTGAGCAATGTGCTTCGAATTCAAAGTCTGGACAATATGTTGCGAGTGAGTATTAACTGCGTTTAGGCATTTCATCTTCTTTTTCTGAGTATTGATAGCTTGTGAAGTACATTTATTCAGGATGGTTTTTCTGAATAAACCTTGATTCAGATAAAAAGAGAGAAGATTGTCCATGCCCAAGAAGATATGTTTTCGGAAACATCCATAAGTCACCTTGCCAGTCTCTTCCTTATCTATTTTGTAGCGGCCGACCCGGTAGGTCTGATCAGTTTGTTTAAAATGGACCCCTTGGCGGGTAATAAACGTTTTGGCTAGTGACTTGGTGCACGTGGTTGCTTTCCCGCTTTTTCCGT